TAAATGTTTGAAATTTTTAATATATAAAAAATATATTTTTTCTCACAAGTTTTAGTCTATTATTATTTTGCTTTCTCTATTATTATTCATTATTTAAACGTATATATGCATTCTCTCAAAATACACAAGCACAGTTCTCTGCCTCTATAATGAACTCATGCCTGGAAGCCAAACCCAATTTGGCAGTAATCTTGTATTAATTTGCCTTCATCTCGGCGTCGTTTTGGAGGTGTTAACCACAATTTTATGCAAATTAGTGAACAAAGCTGATGCATATACCCAATGGCTTACGAAAGAACAGAACTAACTTGCATAGAAACTCAACTTGTTTTCGGTAAAAATTAATTAACAAAAAAATTTTTCTTTAATTTACCTATTTATTTTTTATTTTTGCAACAAGCTGAAGCCGCACCTAGGCAAAAACAAAAGCCGCAAACTATAGATATGAGCATATATATTGTATAACACCTTTAATCTGCCTGCCATGAAAATGGAAATTCAAATACCCGTAGTAATCAATATTGGCTAATTATAACAAAATGCAAACAGAAATAAAAAACCTGGCCTTGAGCCAAACAATTGAATAGCAAAAAATACAAATAAAAGACCACAAAAATGATAAAATGTCAAAGCAAACAAAATTTGCTGTTAGATTTTTACGCTTTTGTTGTCAGCTGCAGCTAAATGTTAAAAAAAAGAAATACAAGTTAATAGCTGCAGTTCAGCTTGACTGACTGCATAATACTCTTGGGGAGCTATAGAAGTTATAGAAACAACTGGAAACGTCTGATGGAGCAAAGACAAAGGTAAAGACAAAGACAAAGACAGATTATGAACAGATCGAACTTTAATGGGCTACAACAAAACTTGCTCATTTTTACTCCACATATACATCTATATAATATTTGTTATATCAGCATAGTAAGTCTAATAAGCAGGCTTAAAATTGTATTGTAGTCAATTTATAGAGTAGATGCATCTCTCATCAATCTTTAGGGTATTAAGTTGAAGTCCATGTAAGAGTTTTAGTCAATTGAACTTCTCTCTTTAGGTCATAAATATAAATTTTAATATATTTCAATATCAGGCTATCAATTTCAAGATGTTTTATAGCTAAAAATGATATAGTGTATCTTGGAAAAAGAAGTTATAGAACTTTTCGCTCAGAGAGCCTAGCCTAAGGTCTCAGACAAAAGTTTTTATGCCAAGTCCCAACTCCATGTCTCCTCCATATCATTGATAAGCACAGACAACCGACAAGTAGACAGTGCATAAAAACCAATATGCTCATCTCAGTTAGTCAACGAGCATAAAAAGTAAGAAAAATAAAATACAACTGCACACAAATGTAAATAAATTACATGCAACAAATGCAACAACAGTCGCCGCTGACGTCGCAGTCACGTTGAATGCGACTGCTGCTGGCTGCGACGGTTGCTGTCGCTGYCGCTGCCGCTGCTGCTGCTGCCGCTGTCTGTGCCACTAACCCACTTCAAGACAACTCAACGCTGTCTCTTTCTAGCACATAAGCTGACTCGCTCTCTCTCTTTGTCCCGCCCGCTGCCTTGCTGCCTTGCTGTCTCTCTTTGGCGCARCGCAACGTGAAACGTTGACAACAACAACAATAACAAGAACAACAGCAGCAGCAGCAAATCAACTGCCTTCGCTTTTTGCATTTTATTACGAAAATTCTTTGCATTCAAAAAACAAGAACCTAAAAGCATTCAATTAATCAGCTAAGCTTAAAGGTTGAAAAGGGGTTTGGGGGCTAGGGACTAGGGGCTGGAGCTTGTTGCCTGCTTGAAACAAATTAGCGGCTTAAAGTGCGCCCGTCCCCCAACCAAAGGCGTTGATTGATTCGAAGGGCTTGCATAGACCCAGACATGGGCGTGGCTCGCTTTGGTTATAGTCCATTTGGATCATTTGCTCAATGGCAGCTGTCAAGAGTTTCCCAAAGTTTTGGGTGTCTGGGGTGGGGGAAACGGCTCAATTGAAAGCTTATTTATAGGCCCCATCACACTCGACAGCCGTCGACAGTTGTGACCCAAAAATGTTTGCCGCCTTGCTGTTGCTTATTGTTGTTGTTGCTGTTGTTGTTGAAAAACCACAAAACCACTTTTGACCACACAATCTTCGAAAAGCCACAAAGTGCTCAAGCTGCTAACTGAGATAAAGATAATGACATGGAGCACTATGGACACTATCACACATGGCGAGACTGAGCAAAAGACCAAATCCATTGTTTGGCCTGCTCTGATTCATCAGCAAACAGCACACACTTCCCCCCTTCCCTCCCCGCTCGCTGCTTGCCTGCCCATAAGCATAAACATAATTTTCTATTGCCGCCAAAAGTTCGAGGCGATTTGAGCTCGATTCAACGCTTTGTCACAACAGCTGCAACACAAGTTGCGCTGCATTTGCGCTTTTCAAATGTTGCATAACTTTTTTATTTTTTTATTTTTTTTAATATATCTATGTATATCTCCTTTTTGTTTTGCAGTTGCTAAATGTAACTGATTATGGAAAAAGGTGCAGAGCGGGCGTATTAAGCTGTGGCAAATGCATTGAGAATGGTTTATCATCAATTATCAATTTTCATTTATTAATTAATCATCAATAAACAATTTATCAATTTTATTATTTTGAAATGTATAAAGAAACAAAAATGCCACAGCTAGTTTATAGCATTTTCTATTCTGCTTTTGATTATATATAAATTATTAATTA